ATTTTTTCATATAAAATTCCGTGTTGATCAAAAAATTTTTATTAGTGAGTGACACTTGACCCCCTGTAGATCCGCAACCAACATTTATTTTACGTTATCAAATTCATGATTTTGATTGGCCAATCAACAATTGCATGGGTTAAAATTTTGTGTTACAAAAACGAGGATTCTTTTTTAATGTAAAAAATTTTTTACAGTAAGTGAATATCTTTATTTCAGTTAATTTTATAAAGACATGTCAACCAAAGATCCCATTGAAAATCCATCAGTAACCCGTTTTCGTGAATATCTACGTATAAAAACTGTTCAACCTAATCCAGATTATGAAGCTTGTAAAAAATTCTTGTTACAACAGGCAAAAGAGATCGGATTGTCTTCGAAAGTGCTTGAGGTAATATGAAAGGATCCATGTACACTTGCACATTTTTTTACTATTTTGAATACTCAAATTATTTAAAATATACAAGTATGTTAAAGGAAAACCCGTAGTTGTTTTAACATATGAAGGTTGCGACAAAACCCTGCCTTCTATCCTTTTAAATTCTCATACTGATGTTGTTCCTGTATTTGAGGTATTTGATAATCTTTTTTAAAAAAGTTAATTTAATGAATAAAAACTAATGCCTTCAATGATAATGAATAGGATAAATGGAGTTGTGATCCATTTGAAGCTTGTAAATTGAAAAATGGTGATATAATAGCAAGAGGCGCACAAGATATGAAATGTGTAGGTGCTAGTTATCTAGAGGCAATGAGATGTTTTAAAAATCAATCAAAACAACCTATCAGAACAATTCACTTATCATTTGTTCCAGGTATTTAAGAATACAAAAAATTTTTCTACATTGATTTCATAATAATAATGTTTTTTATTATTTAGATGAAGAAATTGGTGGTGTGGATGGTATGTATAAATTTGTGAATTCTGACGATTTTAAAAGTCTGAATGTTGGATTTGCGCTAGATGAAGGAATTTCTTCTCCAAATAATAATTTAAGATTATTTTTTGGTGAACGAGCACCTTGGTGGATAACTGTAACTAGTAGAGGTAACACAGGGCATGGATCACAATTCATTGAAAATACTGCAACTTATAAATTGGTTTGTTCAAAAGTTTTTTTAATTCTTGTTGTTTAAGAGATTCATCAATGTTAATAGAAAATAAGATTATTGTTTACTTTCTAATATATATACATATTCTTTGCTATTATATTTGATATTATCTCATTCTTTTTTTTTTTATGAATAAAAAATAAAAATATACATTAGCATCGAATCATTAATAAATTTATGCAATTTCGGGACTCTCAGGAACAACAACTAAGATTTAGTGTACATGCAGATGGAAGGAAATACACTCTTGGTGATGTTACAAGTGTTAATCTTACATTATTAGAAGTAAATTTTCAATTGATTATTTAAAGTGTTTTTTTTTTCTTAAAAATATATAATCCATATAAGTGTTCAATTTAGGCTGGGGTTCAACATAATGTCATTCCATTAGAAGCAAAGGCTGGTTTCGATATCCGTGTTTCTCCAAATGTTAATTTGACAGAATTCAAAAAATTTCTTGAGGATTTGATTTATTCAGAATCAGAGTATAATATCAAATAAGAATATTTATTTTTATTTATTTATTTACAGTTAATAAGATTATATCAAGCTTTTTTCTAGGACTACCTTTGAATTTGCACAATGTCATGAAGACAATACCTGTACTCATTTAGTTGATACTAATATATGGTGGGTGACATTTCAAGATGTTTGTAAAAACCGGTAAGTAGATTAATAATTCTTAAAGTTATCCTTTAAAAAATACATAGATATATTAAGTGATTTTTTACATTAATAATTAGAAATATTACTATAGTACCAGAAATTTTTCCTGCTGCAACCGATTCACGTTATTTACGTGAAAAGGGCATACCTGCATTTGGTGTCTCTTATTTGAAAAACACACCAATTTTGCTACATGATCATGATGAACGCATCAATGAAGAATTGTTTCTTGAAGGTATAGAATTTTATACAGATTTAATTAATCGTTTGGCAAATGTTAAAAAGATTTAAAAATTTGTTCATACAAATTATTTTATACTAAATTCATATTGAAAATTTAAAAACTCTTATTTGTTCATTATAATAAATATTGTTTGTCTAAAATATAATTAAATAGTAACTAAGGCTCTTAATGAATTGAATTGAATTGAATTTGAGAGTGATTTGATTCAATTTGATTTGTGACTTGATTCAATTTGATTCAAATCAACCAGATTCCTAATGTCATATATTTTTAATTTGATAATTTAAATTTATATTACACAGTGAATCTCAATTAATGTGCCTCAATTAAATGAATACTAATGGGTTGAGGTCTAAGAATAGTTTAATGATAATAAAATTCTTGATATGATATTTATTCAAATTTTTCATTTTGCCATAATAATAATGGATTTCTTGATATTAATATTAATGGTCATGTGATTTATATTATTAATAATGATAAGTAAAAAAGCAATACAATTCATTAAATCAAAAATAAGAAGTACTAATACAGTCAAACCTTGTCATAATGAATTTTTGTTACAATGAATTTTGAAAAAAAAAATTTTTTTTTTAATAATAAAAAACTTTTGTTATATCGAATTTATCAGTCAAATGATATGTCACAGGAAGTGTAATTACATATATAAAATAGAAAATCTGACTCGTGTAACAAATCAGTTTTTTAAAATATCTCATTATTTTTATAACAAATACAAATATCATTATTAATCAGAAATAAAACTATGGAATTATAGCTTTCTAATGAGCCCTCTCCCATATTGATAGGGGCTCTCTATGTTAAGCTATGTTTATTCAAAAACAGCATTACTTTTTATTTCAAAGCTAAGATTTTTTACCAATATTACCTTTATAAACTTGGTGAGTGGTTGAAAAGATGTAAAATATTGTAAGCTTTCATATAGGTATAGCTTTATGTGGATTGTTGTTTATTAAAGTTTAGTGAAAATGGCAAGAAACTCCAAAAAACATATTAAATTTATCAAAATTTATTTATCAATATACAAAAAGGAAAAAATGTAGGCAGGAGATAATGACCAAAAATAGATAATTAATTTTCAAATGCGGTAATTTGGTTGACAAACTTTAACACCAAGATTTTTTACTATTTATTAATAATCTCCTAATTTTTTTAAAAAAGAAGGAATAAGTCTTTAAAAATCTGTGTCTCAAATTTGGGGGAGATTGCTGAGCAAAAAAGGGTTAAAATTAAGGTTTGTGTCTAATTTTATTAATAGAATTTCGACATTGATCACCAAAAAATTTCAGAAAATACACTTCCCAATTGTTTAATGTGACAAATCGTTCGACTATTATTAATAGAATCTTGTTACAACAAACAACGAATTTTTGGTAAAATTTTTTGATATAGTTACTAATTGCATTACAACTAATTTATGTGATAAATGATCGACAAAAATGTAAAAAATCGTATGGTGCAAGTCACCCTATATAGTCCTGCAACTTGCTGCGCCTCGTGGACAATTTTGGGAAAAACATCAAATCTCAGAATTGTAAGTTATGTTCAAATGCAATAAAACTTTATGTCACGTGACCCTTGATGGTGATACAAAATTAAAAAAATTTTTCATTTAAATATTATATACATAGGCAACCCCGTTAAACCAAAGGCAATTGTGCAGGGACTTTTCTTCGGATTAACGGGGTTTTTTTATAATCCGAAGTTATTATTAGAGTCATAAATTAATTCAGATAAACGGGGTAGTAAATTTAAAAATTTAGAATTTCCTTTATCCATTTATTATTAATAAATCATAATTTACAAAAT